TAATACTTGAATTTCGTATATATTATTGAACATTTTGTAAAGAAACATGTGTATTAAACATGAAAAATATGTACATACGTGTATTGTACTAAGTCTTTAAGACGTAAACACGTACATATATATATATATATAATACAAGTGTTAAACGGGAAAATGCTAAATTCTTTATAAGGGTAATAACTCTGGAAAAGTAAAAACTCAAACGGAAACAATAAAGACTCCGGATAATGGCCTAATAGTAATGGATAATTGTCTAAACTACTCTTCACGTGAAAGCACAGAACGGAAATCCTTTAACATATGTTCAACCTCCCTCCTTGCAACCATTGCATCATATTGTTGCTGTGAGATCTTACTCTGATTGTCAACTGTGACAATCACGTCCAGTTTCTTACGTTGTTCTGCACTAACCATCCCATCCACGACCCGTCATATGTTGCTGATCGTGTCGTCAGCACTGTTCAATGGCTCAGTGTCCTTCACAAAACAACTCAGTTTCCAGCATAGCCTGTCTAATGGGAATGAAATGTGTATCTCATGTAACATATTGGATATAATTTCATTGACGGTAACGATAGTAGAGCATTAAATTTGTGTGTTGTGTCGGGGTCTATGATTGGATTTCTCAGTCGGGTAGGGTGGTGGTGCCGATACCATCTTGAATAACATGATAGCTCTTGAAGACATTCCAAGCAATTGAGACTTGAGGAAATTTCACAAGGGATTGATTTTTTTTTTTTTTTTTTTTTTTTTTTTTTTTTTTTTTTTTTTTTTTTTTTTTTTTTTTTTTTGGGGTATGAAATTCATGTTGTATTCATAAAACCCCAAAACAGGGAATAGAAATACAAATAGAAGGCAAAAGCCACAAGGAGCCAGCAGAACACAAGAACATACATCCATTACAACCATTTGGAGATCTTTCCAAATTCAACATCTGTCATTATATAAAATCCAATTAAAAACTGTTTCCATATTGATTCCTACATTAATATACAAAATGCAATAATGGCTTAGTTGGGGGTATTTTTGGAATCTGAAAAGTACAATAAATCAGATTTTATGCTTAATTAGGTAATTTGCTGAGTTAGATCCTAGTCATGGGTTTTTACTTATACAAATTGGGTATTATTTATAGGAACAAAAAGTGAAGGGTTTTAGGTACGGCAAATTGAATTTGAAGGGTGTAAGCCAAATTTACTAAATATTTTAATATAATTTTGTGTGTATAATACTTGAATTTTGTATGTATTATTGAAAATTTTGTAAAAAAAACACGTGTATTAAATATGAAAAAAATGTACATACTACATACGTGTATTGTACTATGCCTTCAATGAATTTTTTTTCTTTTTCGGGTTCTAGTTTTCATGGATATCCTAAAAGTTGATATTCTTATATACGAATAAGAAAGAAAATAGAGATCAAAGTAGGATTGTAATGTGGAATAGCATAGATGAATAAATTTATCCTTTCCTATTTTAGGTGCTCCAGCAGTAGCAATATGAAAAATATGATGTGTTTCAATTGTTTGGTAAATAAAAAGTCTTTATTATGCATTCACAAATTTCATATTATTGGATCTATTATTTGCTAAAGAAATATAAGCATTACATAATTCCCTTATTAACTATAAGCTCTATATCATTTCTTGAAACAAATGTCACTTACACATTATCCCGGAAGTGAAATATTTTTGAAGTTAAATAGTATAAAGGGAGGGTCTTGTATAATAAAGCCTCCAAGAATTATGATATTTGAAATTGGTACTTACGTGACGAGGGGTAAATTTAATCACACAAACAAGACACAACAACACAGCAATCTTCACACACTTTAAACCTTGAACAAATACACATATGACTAGTCAATTGCCAGTCATGAACACCCACAATCAAGAGAACATACAGAGCATGCCACAAAGTACCTGCAACCCTAGAAGATTACTAGTGACAACCTAGGCACTCAGAAGGACCCGTCAATCTAGGCATCCCCTATGCTAGCAACAACTATGGTGAAAGTGTGTGAAATCATCATTATCATGTAAATATCAAACAGCAGATAAAGATAACAAGTCAATCACCAAGAACACAAACCTAAAAAAATTACAGATATGCAAAACAGATTTTGTTCACCCAGAAACCCACCATTGGGAAAAACTGGGAGTCATCAACCGACCAGGTACTCCACTAAGTAGAAAAAGATTCTTACAAAGGAAACACAACCAAGCTCAAGAAGCACCTAGATCTATTTAGGAATAGGAGCAATACCTCCTTTGTGCAATCTTCTTCTCCAACTTAGCAAAACTTGAAGCTCAGTTCTTCTTGGCAAAGGTAGCTCCGTCTCCAGCTCGTTCATCCCATGGCACTAGCTTGCAAGCTCTAACACAGACCGAAACCAATATTTGAATTCAAAGGAGAATGACCAATTTCTTCAAGAAACCATACTCTTGAAGAAATCAGTCTTGAATCTGACCTAGATAAAAATGAGAGAATGATTTAAGTAGCTAGATGCAGATTCTGGTTTCAAAAGTAGTTTTTCAAAAAGAAATCAATTGGAAAAACTCATAGATGAAATATTTGGTTCTCTCTTGAGGAAGAAGAAGATAAAGATAGCAAGCCGATCTTTCCAAAACTTCCACGCAAAAGAGAAAGCCACCAAATGAGCAAAATCGTAGCCTTTACTAACCAAAAAATTCCTTAGGTCAGAAACCCACATGGCAGCAGAGAGAGAGAAAGAAGAATAGGACAAAACAATTTGCTATCCAGCTGCAAATCCTACAGAGCAAGGATGACTAGTCATATGAGAAACGGATGACTAGTCATCATTTTATGAAGACTGTTTAATGTAATGATATGCAATGCACAATACCTTTGT